CCCCCCCCCCCTCCCAGGGGCGGGGGGGGGTTCAAACACCCCCCCCCCGGCGCCAGCGCCCGAGCCGGCGCTGGCGGCCGCCAGCAGCGCCGACGGCGGGGACGCAGCAAAAATGACCAGAGGCAGCCCAAGGAGGGGGGGATGTTTCACCCCCCCCCTTTGGCGCTGGCGCCGGCGGGGACGCAGCGACGATTACAACCACTACCACCACCACCACAAACCACCACCACAACCACCACCACCACCACAAATCACCACCACCACCACCACCACCAACCCACCGCACAACCACCACCACCACCACAACCACCACCACACCACCACCACAACCACCACCACCACAACCCACCATCACCACAACCACCACAACAACCCACCACCACTACCACCACCACCACCACCACAATCTACCACACCACCACCACCACCACCGCCACAACAACCACCTCTACCAGCAGCACAACCCACAACCACCACCACCACCACCACCACCACAAACCACCACCACCAACACCACCACCACCACCACCGCCACCACCACCACCACACAAACCACCGCCACCACCACAACCCACCACCACCACCACCACAAACCACCACCAAACCACCACCACCACCACAACCCACCACCACCACCATAAACCACCACCATCACCACACCACCACCGCCACAGCCACCAGCACCACCACCACTACCCACCACCACAACCACCACCACCACAACAAACGACCACACCACTGCCACCACAGCCACCACCACCGCCACCACCACCACAACCCAACATCACCACCGTCGTCCTCGTCGACGCTCCCCGCCGCCGCCGCCGCCCGCCGCCGAAGGCGCCGGTGCCGGCCCAGAAAATGAAATCGTCGTCCCCGCCGCCGCCGCCAGCCGCCGCCGACGCAGGCGCCAGCCCGAGAAGAGGGAGAGAGAAGAAGTAGCAGAGGAAGGGGGGGGGTCGAACCCCGCCCCCCCTCCATCCAGGGGGGGGGGTCCGGTTCCACCCGAACGCGCGCTTTCTTAGGTAGGTGACTGATCAAGCATCATCCAATCGGGGGTGCTGGGAATACTCGAGCAGGTGAGCCCGAGATCAAGGACGAGCGGCGTTTGCTGGATCGCTGTCCGCAGCAGCACGACGGCTTAAGGCTTTGGGGGCGAACGCTACGGCTAGGGCATCAGGACACCAGATGCCCGCAGCGGAGTGACGCGCTGCGGACGATCCAAGCTAACTCGCTGTGGCCGCCGAGTAGGTTGCTCCAGGAGGGCAGGCGCGACGAATATGATTGCGTGCTCTGTGGTGCAAAGGAGGGTTCGCATGGTGCCTTGTATTTCGAGTGCGAGGTCGCGCCGCAGCAGCAGGGGGGCTAAGAACACGAGCCGTTCCCAGAGAACCCAGTCATGATTCGGGATCGCTTGCGCTCGCAAGCCGTTCAAAGGGATTGTGCGCCGTGATTCGGGCATCTGTCGTTCGCGTACAGTCGGGGCCACGAGCACCTGCTTTGGGGATGGGCATGGACGGCATGCCTCTTTCGTGGGGCTACGGCGGTGCGGCTAGGCAGTGGTGCAGATGTGCTCCAACCTGATCCCTGTCATAGCGCTCCGGAGCAGTCTCCCCGGGCTGGTACCCACGATCCAGAAAAGCGGAAAGAACGGCACGCTGACCTCAGAACATTTCCTGTCGGGGCCGCGCCAATCCGTCTCGGGCCAGCGAGTGGGAAAGGCGAAGCACACGCAAATGAGCTACACCTGCGTCGATGTGGAGGCAGATCTACGCAGTGGTGGAAGACAGGGCGGATGCATTGCCCAGGGCCGCGTGTGTCCGAGCCCACAGGCGTCTGAAGATGACGTACATGATGACTGCACGAAAGACAATGACAAGGACGTGGGCAAGTTTCGGGCTGATGTTTGCGCCAAAATGAATCAACCAACACCCAGGTCTCGGACGTGCATGTACGAGCGTGCGGGGTGCAGCTGAAGGATGCCCCCATAGCACCCTTACAGAAGTACGCGGCCTGGGCAGCGGACGAGGGTCGTACGATTGTCGCCAGGTGGCTCGGGGCAGCTCCTCGATGACAATAATGAACCAAGCTGATTCCAGCAACACGTCTGCAACTTACAGAACTTGACACCATCGAGCTCACCACTGGCGTGATCAAGTGTTTGAATTACTACGGAGGTGTCAATGCAGAACTCTCGCTGAACGCCCTGCTGTCATCCCCGTGTGAGCCGCCGATAATGAGCGACCTGCACGTCACGTAGAAGCATGGTGCCACTATCTGGTGTGCTGCGTGGCCTTCGGAGTCGAATTGCTCGATCAGCTGGTTAAGGGATCCTTGCCGAAGGCCAGCTGTCAACGCAAGGTCGAGATGGAAGGAGCTGAATAGAATTGAGCAACTTGATCGCGTGGTTCACCCGATATCCAAGGACGCTCTGGAGGTGGGGAATTCAAAAAGGACATGCGAAAGACGTGTTTGTTGCAAGCTCCATCCGTCCTGTCGGACTGCGGGGCCATTGCACGACAACTTCGACATCCTCTTCGTCACGAGTGTCTGGTGCCCCATAGCTGCCGTCCTCGAGAGGCCGAGCGTCAATG